AATATAGTTTGTATAATAAAAAAAATGTTATAAATTAAAAACTAAATAATTTAAATATTTTTTATAAATTTGTAAATTAATAAAAAAAATATTTAATTATCATATAATAAATTTATTTTTAAACTTTAATATTATAGTATATATAATTTTAAAAGTATAGTTTAAAATAACAAATATTAGATTTAATATTATTAATAAGCTTTTTAATTTATTTTATAAAATATAATATATTAGAAGTAATAATATAACCTATATTTTATAGAAAAAATCTAATCTTATACATAGTGTATATATATGGGTCTGTAGTCATTACACAATCAATGCAAATTTTTGTTGATTATATAACAATTACATTAATTATATTATGTATTGTAAAAAAATAGAACTTATACTAGTTTTGATGTTAGCATTTTATATTTCTCTTTTTTCTATTAGCTTTTTAGTTTCTACTAAATTTTATGCTTCTTGAGTGATACAATACATGAAAAAAACCTTTGAAATAGATGATACAAACTTTAATGCTATTTTTGATTCTTACTTATTGTCTCCAACATATACTCATATAAGATATTTCAATACAGTTTCATAATATTTGTTATTTAATTGTGCAAAATATATAGAATAACAAGTTCATAAAAATTATATTTTGCCTTCATTATTTAGACCTTTGAATGAACAACAAATGATCTGGTTTGTGCCAGTAATTTTAATAATTTAAATGATTTAAATGCTTCTTTTTTGTCATTGCAATTTCAGGTAACATAACTTTATCTCTTATGTTGCATTTTCTAGAGTATATTTGTTATATTCTGCCTTTTAGAAAACTTAATATATCTACTTTGTCTTTATTATTTAGGCCTTTGAACAAACAATAAATAATCTAACTTGTGCCAATAATTTTGATAACCTAAATGCTTTTCTTTTATATTCGTCATCATAGTTTCAGATATATATACTGTATTTATCACTTATATATTGTATTTTTCAAAGTGTATCTTTTATATCTCATCTTTTTTAGGCTTCTGAACAAGCAATGAATATGACTGATATGAATTATAAAGATGTATTTTATATGATAAATGTTTTTTCATCTCTATCTTCTTTATCTCAAGTTCATTTGATATCATTGCTATTTTATTTGCATACTTCGCACTAATTAAACTATCTAATAACCTTTTTGCATATCTCTTTTTCATTAAATAGACCTCTGAATAAACAAAAAATTATTCAACTTGCACCAGTAATTTTAATAATCAAATGCTCCTCTTGCATCTTTGTTGCCATAGCTTTATATAACTATATTTATTGCCCTTTGTGTTATACTCCTCTGAGTATATTTCATATATTTAGTTTTTTCAGGCTTTTGAATGATTAAAAAATATAACAGATGCGAATTTCAAAGATGAGAGAAATGATTTTTCATCTTTCTTATCTTCACTTCAGGTTCGTGTAATATATCTACTGTTTTGTTTTAGTTACTTTACCTAATTAAACTATTTAATTTTTTTTTTTGCAATTTAGAAAAGTAATTCTACTTTTTATAAGAACTTAAATACTTCTTGCTCTTTGTCACAGATTTAAGTATATATCTCATCTTTTTTATTCTTACTTTAGGCTTACATAATATACCTACTGGCTACTGTTCATTCAGTTAACTATCTATTTATATTTATTTTTTTATTTTTTTTGCTGTTTAGACTTCTGAGAAAACAAATAATATTAAAATAGAATATAAATATACTTTTCATAAGAACTTAAATACTTGTTCTTCATCACAGATTTAAGTATATATCATATTTTTTACTTCAGATTTATGTGATACACCTATTGCCTACTCTAATTATGGTTTTTTTTTTTTGCTACCTGGACTTCTGAGAAAACAAATAACATTGAAATAGAATGTGAGTCTACTTTTCATAAGGACACAAATGCTTGTTCTTCATTACAGATTCAAGTATATATCTTATATTTTTTACTTCAGATTATAGTTGTTAGGCAAAACCCAAAAAAAGAAATTATAACAATGAACTTCATTGTTATAATTTTTTTTTTTAGGTTTTGCCTAACAACTATACTTCAGATTCATATAATATACCTACTGTCTACTGTTTCATTTAGTTAACTATCTAATTATAGTTTTTTTTTTTGCTGTCTAGACTTCTGAGGAAACAAATAATGAACATGAATCTACTTTTCATGAGAACATAAATGCTTCTTGTTCTTCATCTCAGATTCAAGTATATATCATCTTAGTTATTATTTTTTTGCATTTTTCTATATCTAATATAAATAACTTCTATTTGGTTAGGCTTTTGAATCAAATATAATTTTAAATAATACTACTTCACATGATGATAGTGAATAGAAGAATCAAATCTTTTAAAATTAAAATCTGGCCTTACCTTTCTTAGCTGAGAATTATTTAAAAATTGGCTTCATAGATTTGCATTGAAACAAGGCTTTAATTATAAAATTAGGACAAGTGAGACAATTGAAGATGTATTGCAAAAGGTGATATATGAATATATAAAATTAGATACAAATAATCTACAAGTTATCTTAGATCTAATTCAACAGTGAAATACTGCTTCTCAACAAATAAACTGGCCTTAAAAACTTAATGTTACCTGCTCAAAGACCAATAATATTATTAAAATTAATACATTTATTAAAAGTTATAATTATTAGCTTACCTCTATGATACACAAATTAGCTTTACGTTTTCAAAAATTAACAGCTAAAATATTAGCAAACATTAAGAAGTATGTGATTAAAAGTCAAATAGATTCAAAATCTATTTACCTATTGCTTAAGCATGACTGTCCAGAAAATCCAATTCATAAATATAATTTATACAATGCAATATATTAATTTTGATATAAGAATAATTTAGATAATTTGAATGCTTTATGGATGCTTCAGATGTTGTTAGAATAGAAGAATTTAGAGTCTCTTTGGGTTGTAAAACTTCAACTAGAACCAATTTTAAAAAAATTAAATTCTCTTTTATAAATGTCTCCTATGCAACAAGATATATATAGCAAATTTCATAATATTATGATATTAGATATAACTTACAACACCAACTGGTTTCAGATGATGCTTTGTATTTTAACTATTATTGACAACAATTATAAAACTCAAATTGTAGCATGTGCTATTATTGAGGATGAAACATTGAACACTTATAAATGAATATTTGAAAGTATCTATAACAAGATTGACATTTCTTCCAAAGTTATCTTTACTGATTCTGACCTTTCAATGATCCAATCAATCAAAGAGGTTTATCCCAATTCTTAGCATCTTTTATTTTTATTTTTATTTTTTTTAAGTTAAAGTCCCTATCTTGGGAGTTGTAATGTTTTTATTTAAGTATATTAGGACACAGCATGCCACCAAGGGCTCACCTTACATTGAAGATTACAACTAGCCACATGTGCACTTTTGGTGCCTAATTTAAGTAGTCTGCTTACACATTACTATATAAGTTCTATACT